AGTAGCTGGGACTACAGGTGTGTGCCACCACACCTGACTAATTTTTACAGAGATGGGGTTTCTCCATGTTGCCCAGGCTGTCAAACTCCTGGGCTCATGCTATCACCTGCCTCAGCCTCCCAAAGTGTTGGAATTATAGGCATGATCCACCACACTGGGCTTTTGTGGGTGTGTGTGTGTAGAGACGGGCCTTGCCATGTTACCCAGGCTGGTCTGGAATGCCTGCGCTCAAGCAATTCACCTGCCTCTGCCTTCCATAGTATTGGGATTATAGGTGTGAGCCACTGCGCCTGCCCAGTTGTTAAAAGAAGCCGTCTCTGGTGTGGGACACTGGAGAGGGGCTGGGGCACTCCATGTTTACTTTCTCTTCTTCTGAGTTGCTTCAATTTATTATAATGAGCATGTATAACTTTTATGACTTGAAAAGAAAAGAAGGGAAAGACAGGAAGAGAAGAGAAGGGAAAGTGGAAGATAACCAATTCTGTTGGCAAGGTAAACAATTCCAACTCTCTGTACCACAGTTTACTTATCCATAATACGGAGAACTTCAAAGAATTATTTTGAGGATTAAATGAGACAATGCATATAAGGCGCTTAGCACTTCTTGCACAGTAATGCTAGCTACAGTCACCGCACAAAATGCTTAACTCAATGTCTGGCATAAGTGTTAAGGGAAATAATAAATAGTCTTTAAAAAAACAAAATGGTAGCTACTTTTACTAACTATATTTGTAACATTTATTTTGCCTTTGCTTTGCAAATATTATTTGTTTTTCTGCTTTGAGTTTTTGCAGTTGGTTCTTTTTTTCTTTTTTTTTTTTTGAGACAAAGTTGCCCAGGCTGGAGTGCAGTGATGCAATCTCGGCTCACTGCAACCTCCGCCTCCTGGATTCAAGTGATTCTCCTGTCCCAGCCACGCAGGAGGCTGTGCCACCATGCCCAGCTAATTTTTGTCTTTTTGGTAGAGACTGGGTTTCACCATGGTGACCAGGCTGGCCTCAATCTCCTGACGTCAAGTGATCTGCCTGCCTTGGCCTCCCAAAGTACTGGAATTACAAGTGTGAGCCACTGCGCCCGCCTGTTTTTTGTTGTTGTTGTTGTTGCCCAGGCTGGAGTGCAATGGTGCGATCTCAGCTCACCGCAACCTCTGCCTCCCAGGTTCAAGCGATTATCCTACCTCAGCCTCCCGAGTAGCTGGGATTATAGGCATGTGCCACCACACCTGGCTAATTTTTTGTATTTTCAGTAGAGGCAGAATTTCTCCATGTTGATCAGGCTAGTCTCAAACTCCTGACCTCCGGTGATCCACTCCTCAAAATGTTAGTACCGTGAATATAAAGATTGAGAAACCATTAATGCTAATTTCCTGATATTAATCATTGAATATTTATTAATTAGTCTGAAACTATGTTACAATAGTTACTAAGTATATACAGAAAATGTAGAAACACTGTGCTCCATTGCTAACGGAGTGCACATTGGTAAAGTTTCCCTGAAGGATAATCTGGCAATACCCTTCAAAAGCAGAAACATACATGCCCTTTGATCAAAAGTTCCACTTATAAGTAATTGTCCTACAGAGTTGGTTTCATATGTGTGAAATGGTTTAAATAAAATTGTGTATTCATAGGCTAGGCAGTGGCTCATGCCTGTAATCCCAGCACTTTGGGAGGCTGAGGCGGGTAGATCACAAGGTCAGGAGTTTGAGATCAGCCTAGCCAACATGGTGAAACCCCATCTCTACTAGAAATACAAAACTTAGCTGGGTGTGGTGGCAGGCACCTGTAATCCTAGCTACTTGGGAGGCTGAGGCAGGAGAATCGCTTGAACCTGGGAGGCAGAGGTTGCAGTAAGCCAAGATCTCACCACTGCACTCCAACCTGGGCAACAGATTGTCATCTCAAAAAAAAAAAAAAAAAAAAAAAATCGTATATTCCTTGTAAGGGCAGTGGGCCAGGTGCAGTGATTCACACCTGTAATTCCAGCACTTTGGGAGGCCAAGGCAGGCAGATCACTTCAGCTCAGAAGTTCCAGACCAGCCTGGGTAACATGGTGAAACCCTATCTCTACTAAAAATTCAAAAAGTTGCCAGGCGTGGTGGTGCATACCTGTAATCCCAGTTATTCTTGAGAGTGAGGCAGGAGAATCGTTTCGACCTGGGAGGCAGAGATTACAGTAAGCCAAGATCACACCACTGCCCTCTAGCCTGGATGACAGACTGAGTGAGACTCTATCTCCAAACAAAACAAAACAAAACAAAACAAACAAAAAAAGATATTGTAAGGGCAGAGTTTGGAAACAATATATAGGACAATAATGGGATGGTTTTAGGTAAATTATGATATACTTTTAAAATATAGTAAAATGGATATAATAGACTCCTGTAAATGTGCTTTTCTAGAAAGAATCCCAAGAGTAGGGTTATTATTAACAGAAAAACATAAAGCATAGAGCATTCGGTACAATATGCCCTTATTTGTGTCGGGGGAAATGTACATGTGTATGTATGTGTGTATATGCATTTATTTTATTATGCACATATATTTGTATATTTTGCATGCACATATATACATATATTTATATTCTTCTGTATATGTATATAAACATATTTCTATACATTTGTATGTATGTATTTGTAAATGAATAGAATAGCTCTCTAATGATGCCTAAGGAAGTTGAGAAAATTTTTGACCTCAGTAACCGAGTTGCTGGGAGAGAGAGGGTAAGGGAGACTTAACTCACTATTTCACTTTGTGTTTTGTGCAAAATACAAGTATTCCTATCTTTTTTTATTTTTATTTTTTGAGACAGAGCCTCACCCTGTTGCTCAGGCTGGAGTGCAGTGGCACAATCTCAGCTCACTGCAACCCCTGCCTCCCAGGTTCAAGCAGCTCTCCTGCCTCAGCCTCCTGAGTAGCTGGGATTACAGATGTGTGTCACCACCATGCCCAGCTAACTTTTGTATTTTTAGTAGAGATGGGGTTTCACCATGTTGGTCAGGCTGTTCTCGAACTCCTGACCTCATAATCCACCCACCTCAGCCTCCCAAAGTGCTGAGATTTCAGGTGTGAGCCAGCCAAGTATTCCTATCTTTAAAAAATTAATTAATAAAAAAATAAACGCTATGCAGAATGTTAGCGAAACAATATGAAATCAATAGAAAGGAGTGAACATTTGTTAATAACATGAGTACAAGCAGATGGAGAAGGAACTTGTACTGAACAATTCTCCAAATATAGAAATAATTTGATTTTTTTTTCTCCAAGGCAGAAGAACAAGGGGCAGGAAGCCGGAGAAAGTTAGACAAACATGGCATGTTCAGAAATCTGTTTGCAGCTTAAAGGTTATCTTTTATAGGGTGAGGATTACCATGTGATCCATTTCTTCTTTTTCAAAACCAAGGTAAAGTGGTTAATTTTATGGTATATAAATTATACCTCAATTTAAAAAATAAATTAACTTTTAAGAAGTTAAGGATGATGGTACATTCATACTGTGAAGTACTATTTAGCAATAAAATGAAAGAAAGTTTTTTTGTTTTTGTTTTTTTTGAGACGGAATCTTGCTCTGTCACCCATGTTGGAGTGCAGTAGTGTGCTCTCAGCTCACTGCAACCTCCGCCTCCTAGATTCAAGTGATTATCCCACCTCAGCCTCCCAAGTAGCTGGGAGTATAAGTGTGTGCCATCATGCCCAGCTAATTTTTGTATTTTTAGTAGAGACAGGGCTTCACCATGTTGGCCAGGCTGGTCTTGAACTCCCAACCACAAGTGATCCCCCCTCCACCTCCCAGATTTCTGGGATTATAGGCATGAGCCACCATGCTCAGCCAGAAAGTACTGATACATGCAACAACTTGGACGAATCATGAAGGCATTATGCTAATTGAAAGAAGCCAGTCTTCAAGATTAGAGGCTGTAACATTCCAATTATATGACATTTCTCAAAGACAAAGCTATAGGAAGGAAGAACAGATTAGTGATTTCCAGGAGCTAGAACTAGTTGAGTATAAAGCGGTAACAGGAGGGAGTTTTTAGAGAGTGATGGAATTGTTCTGTATCCTTACCATGGTGATCTGCTGGGCGCGGTGGCTAATGCCTGTCATGCCAACACTTTTGGAGGCCAAGGTGGGCAGATCACATGAGGTCAAGAGTTCAAGACCAGCCTGACCAACATAGTGAAACCCCATCTCTACTAAAAACACAAAAACTTAGCCTGTCGTGGTGGCATGTGCCTGTAATTCCACCTACTGGGGAGGCCGAGGCAGGAGAATTGCTTGAAACCGGGAGGCAAAAGTTGCAGTGAGCCGAGATCGTGCTACTGTACTCCAGCCTGGCAACAGAGTGAGACTCTGTCTCAAAATAAATAAATAAATAAAAATTTAAGAATCAAAATTATTATATAATAATTTTTGAAATAACAAGTTTAAAAATCAAACAAGAAACCCAAAATAGAGTTATATCAACAATACTTTGCTTGTGATTTGTGTCAGGCCTCCATGTCCTGCCTGCCTCGGCTGATCACTCCCCTCCACTGCGTTCACTGTTATCCCTGATTGCCCTGCGGACCTTCCCGCACCCCTCCCTTAAGCTCCCCTTCAGCCCATCCTGCCATCTTAACTGTTATTATGATAATGTGAATACTCCTCATCCCACCCTACCATCTTACCTACTCTTATCCCACCTGCCATTGTAACTGAACTTATGGTAATGTATACTCCTTGCCCCTACCCTCACCACTGTAATTGATCTTACTCTGTAACTTTCCACTGCCCATCCCAAACCTATAAAACCAAGTCCTATCCCACTGCCCTTTGCTAACGCCCTTTTCAGCCTTAGCTCACCTGCATCCAGGGGAATAAACAGCCATGTTGCTCACACAAAGCCTGTTTGGGGAGTCCCTTCATTCAAAGCACGAGTTTTTAACAATTTGATTTTGTGGCCATGATTGTCCTGTTCTCTTTCAACACAATAACCCTAACCCACTCCCTACTTCTTTCAGAAAGAGTGAGGGAGTAATTCTAGCTTATTTTTATAAGGAAACAGTGGCTATAGACAGTAAGTACTTTCCCATGTGGCAGCACGAGCCAATCAGACTTTGGTGGATGGGTCATGACATACCCTGTAACATGCTTTTACAGTTCATTGTCATTGTCCTAGGTGCCGTTGTGAGGATGATTCAGCAAAAGTGGAGAACCAAAGATTCTAGGGCAGCATCAAAACTGGGAAAACAATTACAGCAGAAGTTTCCTTCCCCATGGTAGCTTAGCAACTTCATGTCTCCCCAAGGCAGAGAGGAAAATCAAGTCTAACAGGCCTTCCTGGAGGCTAGGTGTGAAATACCAGAAGCCATCTTTGTTCCTGGTTATGACACTAAATAAGTATTTGTTGATATGAAGTATTACACATCTGTTCTCCCACATCTCAGCTAAACTGCCAAAGCTTAACCCTTTCTGGAGACATAGAATGGAGCAGTATACCTAGTTCTCATTCATTTATTTCTGTTGCTGATATTCTTGCATAGCTATTTATTTTATGCATTTGAAACCTAGAAAAAGCCACTTGTCATAGGACAAGATGAGCTGATGATTTTTTTTTTTTTTTTTTTTTTTGTTTTTTTTTTTTTTTTTTTTTTTTGAGACGGAGTTTCGCTCTTGTTACCCAGGCTGGAGTGCAATGGCGCG